TGTCCCTCCCAGGGTTCCTCTGCCTTTGGCCTCCAGGTGTGATTCCCTGGCCCTTCATCTGCTGCAGGGCTGGTTATCCCACTCCCAGGGGGAAAACTGTCCATGAACAGGCACGTGCTGCCAGGAGCAGGTTGTGTTTGGATGGGATGCCAGTCAGGTGTCTTCCAAGCAAAACAGTCCCGGGGATTTGGTCAGGCTCAGGTGTGAGGGACTTTTGGGGCAGCACAAGAGTGGAAGCACCAAAAAGTGATGGTTCTTTGCTCTGGATCCCTGTCCTGGAAAGGAGGAGCTGTTGCTAAGCTCAAAACTCCCGATTTCTCCCTTCTCTGGCTCTGGAGCAATCCCAAATTTGTGTTTGAGCCCAGCAAGGTCAGTTCTGCATCTCTGGAGCCCGCAGTGACCCACGGGCTGGGGTTTGGAGCCCATCTTCGTGGCCTCTGGGCAGCAGCTGCCCCCTCAGCGAAGCCTTTCCCTTGGTTTTTGCTGTTACATAAATTTCTCCGGGGGTTCAAATCCCGTGAAATCCCTTCTAAGGCTCTTGGGGAATGAAACCCAGCACTGCCTGGACCTGCCTGTTCTCCTTGAAGGGAGGTTTGGGATCGCTCCAAAGCCACGTTGCTCCTGCCCGTCTCCTGGGCAAGACCCGGAGCTGTGGCAGCCCCGGATCGGGGCCAGAGCTGAGCCCAGGAATGCTGCAGTGAGCAGAGCCGGGATAATCCGCCCTCCAAGCCCCAGCAAGGACTTTCCTCTAATTCACCGGCACAGACAGGTTAATTCCCAGCTTTCCTCCTGCTGATGGAGGAGCTTTTTCCAGGGCAAGGGAGAGGCTGTTGGGCTGGGACAAAGTGCCCTTGGCTCCCCTCCGTGTGTCCCTGAGGTTTTCCTGCCCTCCGAGCCCCTTGGTTTCGGCAGCAAGAGCTCCCTGTCCCACCTTCCCCATCCACCAGATCCGCTGATCCAGCCTCCTGCTGGTGTCTTGAGGGCTGTGCAGGCTCCAGGCCACCGAAACCTTTGCTTTCCACTTAATTTACCGCTGTAATTGAACAGCAGGGAAGCGGCGCTGGATTGCTGCTCCCAGGGGAGCCAATGCCTCCTGCGCCGGCGGCTGCTCAGCACGAGGATCCCAGCTGTGGGAGCAGGGCTGGCCCTTGGACGGGTGTTATCAGAGTGCCAGGTGGCTCCGGGCCCCGGGGGAGCCGAGCAGGGCCTTGACTTTGGACCGTGGGTGTGTGCCGGTGTGTGCCGGTGTCCCCCGTTCCGGCGGTGCCACGGCCCTGGCCCCTCTCCAGGCTGGTGATGGGGTGAAAGTGCTGACAGCTCTGTGGTAAAGTCCCTTCCAGGGCCAGGGAGGGGACAAGCAGTGACAGGAGCAGGCCGTGGGGCGCTCAGGGAGGAGCAGACCCTGCCACGTGACTCGGCGCCTCGTCATGCCGGAGTTAATTGGGGGTGGTCGTTATCCCCAACTTGGGGGGGTCCTGGAACGCGCCTCTTCCCGCTCTGGGATGAGGATCCTGCTCAGCAGCCTGGGCAGGGTCTGTCCCCGGTGGTGGGGGGTTCGTGACCGTCCCCTGTCCCCTGGCAGGTTCCGTGGCCTTCCTGGGGCTGTACCTCATGTTCGGCTACGGCGCCTCATTGCTCTGCAACCTCATCGGCTTCGTCTACCCCGCCTACGTCTCGTGAGTACCTGTCCCACCCCCTGCAGCGCCTGCAGGGCGTTCCCTGCCCTCAGCTGAGGGTCTCCCTGCTCGGTGAAGACGCAGTTATGGCTGGGAAGCTCTTGAGGCCTTCCTGGAAAGGCCGGGACCGTGCCAGCCTGGGGTGGGAGCGCCCGGTGGGAAGGTTTGCCCCGGGGTTTGGAGGATTTGGGAAGGAGGAGCCCACCCCAGGACTGCAGCAGCCGTGCCCTTCCCCTCTCCTGCCGCAGCATCAAGGCCATCGAGAGCAGCAGCAAGGAGGATGACACCATGTGGCTCACGTATTGGGTGGTGTACGGCGTCTTCTGTGTCGCCGAGTCCTTCTCCGACCTCTTCCTCTACTGGTTCCCCTTCTACTACGCTGGGAAGGTAACGGCTGTGCCAGGGAGAGGGTCCTCCTGCTCGAGGGCTGAACGTGAAGGGGCTGAGTGTGCTGGGTCTGCCCCGTGGGGCTGTGGTGGGGCCACAGTCAGCTCAGATACTGGTACCTCCGGTGAGCTCCAGCCTCGGAAGCTGCCACTGGACCAGGCTGGGGGGCACTGGAGCAGCTCAGCCCCTGCCCTGCCACCCTCCAGCTGAGCCCCTGCCGTCCCTGCAGTGCCTGTTCCTGGTGTGGTGCATGGCCCCCGTGCCCTGGAATGGCTCACAGGTGCTCTACCACAGCATCATCCGGCCCTGCTTCCTCAAGCACCACGAGGCCGTGGACCACGTGATAAGTGACATCAGCACCAAGGCCCTGGACGCGGCTTCCACCGTCACCCGGGAAGGTAACGCGGGGCCCTCCGTGCTGCTCCGTGTCGGGGCCGGGCGGTTTTCCCAGAGCAGGGCTGTGGGCAGCTCACTTTAATCACCATCGAGGCACTGTTTGTCCGTGCCCACGCTGCCCCAGCGGTGCCAGGAGCTGTCCCCTCTCTAACCTCTGTGTTCTCTTTGCGCCGCACTCTGGTCCAGTCCTGCAGACTCTGGCGAGCAGCAGAGCCCGGCTGGCGGCCGGGGCGGCCCCGCAGCTCAGCCTGTCCGTATGTAACAGCCACGGCTCCCGCTGCCACCGTGGGAGACGGGGCTGGGCTGTGCCAGGCTGTGCCAGGCTGTGCCAGGCCCGGGGCCGGGGCTCGTGGCCACCGTGGCACCGGCCAAGCGGCCCTGCCCCTGCAGGCACCGCTCCGCACAACCGGCCCCTTCTCCCGGGGTGTGGGTAGAGCAGGCGCTTCCCTCCTGCTTCTCAGTAGTCAGAGCCTTCCATTTGTCCATCCGTGTGTCCGTCCCTGTGTCCGTCCCTGTGTCCACGTGCTCCTCACAGCCTGTGGCTCCGGTCCAGGGTGCCGCTCCCACGCTCAGCGGGAGAGGGAGGGAATGGGATGGTGACCAGGGACACCGGGCACTGCCCTGGGGACGGGCACTAACGCTGCCCATGTGTCCACAGGCGCCAGAGCATCCCTGAGCCTGGCAGAGGAACTGAACAAGATGAAGTGAGAGGGGCATCGGCACCCCCGGTACCAGCACTACGGCTCCGGTACTGGGACCGGCACCGGCACTCCCAGTACCGGCACCGGCATCCCCAGTACCGGCACCACGGCCCCAGTATCATCACCACGCTCCTGATACTGGCACCGTCATCCCCTGTACTGGCACCACAGACCCCAGTACCGGTACCATGGCCCCGGTACCGGCACCAGCGACTCTGATACCGGCACCACGGCCCCAGGCC